TTTTTTTGGGTGGGGGGGGGGGGAGGGAAAACAAGTTAAGGGGAAAGAGCACTTTTAGAGATTTCTCCAGCCTTTAAGTCCAGTTGACTTTTCTGTGACTCTCCAGTCCTCCCACCATGCTCCTCACCTCTGCCTCCTCCTCAAGTTGCTGTGTGGCTGCCTCCCGTTCCCTACGCATCCACTCCTTCCATGAGAACAGGACAGAGTCAGAGCAGCATCCAAGCAGTGCAGGCAAAGAGAGATGAAAAGAGGTCAGCACCATGCTGGGCAATAATTCCAGAGGGGAAGACAGAGGAGCATAAACAGGGTTGGTACCAGGAAAGGGTGAGCAGAAACCCAACACATGAGGGAAACTGAAGCAGGAATTCTGCATAGCATAAGCTAAGCTACTGCTAGCAAAAGATATGGGAACAGACACCCCATACAATATAAGCTAAGGTGTCACCAGGTGATGGGAAGAGGGCAGGTGCCTCTCACATCCTTAACAGGGCCAGTCTCGGGGAGAAAGGAGCTAAAGCCCTCCACATAGCACAAGATGAGGCATCACCAAGGGACAGGAGAAGACTGCTTATTGCTAGAAGAGACATCTTGACAGAGTACAGATTGGAGAGGCTGGAAGGGAATGGAAAAACAAATCTACGTAGCACAGGCCTGGCTGTCACTGAGGAAAAAACCTCAAAAACGACATGCTTGTTTATAGCATCACAATCAAAAATGCTATAGAGAGACAGAAATTGTAAAAGTATAAGGCAGGGCTTGAAACCAGCAGGTCAGTTCTCAATCATTCAGCACAGCACAGGAATATCATGTGGGAGTGACCAGTGATTGATCTCACAAGCGCTTTCCCCCAGCTACGGGCTTTCTTCCAAGCTTCATGAGGAAGGTAGTGATGTCTGTTATTTATCTTAAAGAACAACCTCTGCACATTTATACTTTTGTGACTTTTTGTCCTGCATCTATGTCACAGAGTGAGGGTCATGCACAAGCGAAGCTTCATTCTTCTATTCTGTTGCGTATTCCAACCTCCTGACTGCTCCCCCTAAGCAGCAGGACCCAGATGGTCCAGAAGTCCCAACAATGGCGGGATGGGAGGTGGGAGGCATTTAAGAAATACAGAGGGAGCTAACTGAAAATACTGATAATCACCCAGCCCTTCTCTTCAAAGGCTTCTGTGCATAACCATTAGCAAATAATCAGCGCCCAATATCACACCCTCACTCTCCAGACAATGAGTGACATGAGAAGACACTAATACTCGGGAGGATCACAAAATCAAAGGGATATTTCAGCTAAAGTCTATGCTGAAGTTGGTTATGCACGTTTTGGTCAAGTATTGCCTGTAAAATGAATGTTCAAGCTGACAGTAATCTTGCACATGATCCTTCTTTGAGGTCTTAAGTTGAAGAGAGACAAGAGGGCCAACCAGCCCAGACTGAGCTGAGAAGCGTTCAAAGCCCATCGTTGAAAACGGCTGAGCAAGGTTTTGGATTAAGATTAGAAAAAAAAATACACACAGAACCAGGATAGAAAAATGCACAAAGAATCAATCTGTGAAGATGCGGAGTTACTAATATTGTTATTAGAATCTGAATCAACAGAGAGTCAAACTTTGGAGATGTACGTACAGATTGAAACAGTGGTACTTGAAAAATTCTGAAAGACTAACGGTGAGCATAGCAAAGTCAAAATTCTTCCCCTCTTTCTTCAGTTTACAACCTTATTGTGATGAGCTGTGTTTGATCTTTTCCATCACTCTTGTGCAAAACTGAACTTAAAACACAAACGTCTCAGAGGACCAAATATAGTGACATAGGAACAGTGCTAGTGAGGATCAGGCACTGAGGTGGGAATTTCCTACTACATTATCACGGCTATAATACATTGCCATTGGTATAAATTTAGATTTAACCATTAAAGGCAGTATTAGAGACAAAATCCCAGGTTCAAGGTCTCAATAAAAGGCAGCTGCAGAAAAATATGTCTTTACTCTTCGGTCTCAGGCCATGGACAATGAAACAACAGAAGAGTCTGGAGCCTCCACTGCCTCCCCCCCCCCACAGGCAAGGCTGGAGGGGAGTCTTGGTCTCTGCTGATGACCAGGCTACAGGCATACTTCTCAGCTTTTCAGAGGCTGAGACAAACAAAATGCTATTTATAGTAAGCCACACTGTGGTGAGAGAAAACATAGTATATGAGAATACAGATCTTATAACAAGTTCTTAAATATACTTCAGCGCAACATCAGAATGTCTTTTTAAAATCCATCAGATTTAAAACGTCTTGAGAAATATGAAGACAGATTACTATGCATTGTTCAGCTTCTAGAAAGAATAATAATATTTGTTATAAGATGCCTACCGTTATTTTTAAATATTGCTGATGGTTGAATGCTGAATGGCTAGTTATTGCTAAGGTTTTTCTTCTAAATTAGCCATTTCAAAAATATTTAATTTCAAGTTTTCCATAACGAGCTGCCATAATACCATCAATACTTTTTAAAATGAGATATGGCCAATACTACCTCCCAGTCTATGAATGTTTTTCTTTCTTTTGGTCAAAGTCTTTGTGGTACTTTTAAGTAGTCTTAGCATCATTTATGGAAAGCCTTTGCCTACCTAACACTGAACTAATCCAACTAGCTCAGCCACAGCTGCATGGTTTTGGGAAAGGACTTGCTCTTGGTTTGTCCAGTTTTAGAGATGCTGACAATGATTCATACTATCTGCAGACTATTAGAGATCCTTATTAAAATCCATATGCTACTAACTTAAAACTGACAGGAATACCCTTTGCTGCAACATTACACAACAAAACCAGGCTTTCTCTGAAATCATAACAAACCACTCTCAGTTCCTTTCTGGGAAAGGAGCAAGATATATTAGAGGAAAAACCTAAACCTGATCTAATTTGGTTCTGCTTTGAGCAGAGCTGAATCAAATGCCTACAGATGTTCCTTTCAACCTAAATTATTCTATAATTCTATAAGGTCATTGCACTGCAAGACTGCCCGTCTAAGCATACATCTCAAACACCATCAGAACACCTTGCAGGTAACTGGGACAGAAAACTCTTGTCCTACACATGCTGATATTAATCTGACTAAGCTGTAGGCCAGCCAAGAAAGAGTAAAGGTTCCAAAGGGAGTCCATAACACGCTGAACCCCTTTTGTGTCTCTACCTCAGTCTTTTGTAAAGTTGTATTCCTGCACAGCCCATCGCAGCCATGCGCAGAAAGCAGAGCGGGATTGTATAAGTATATATGATTTTTTTAAAAAAATGATCACGTATACCACATGCCTGAAAGGCCATAAGGCCATTTTCTTGTTCATTGCCTTGTCCTCTTACAGTCTGTGCCACTGTCCATTCAACACCTTGGTTCTTTTTGCCAAAATAAATAACATCTTAAGTGTTAACTGAATTAGAAAGATCATCTTCATCCAGAATTGCCAACACAATTGCACTCTTGTGGGGTGGCAAATGTAAAACGTCAGGTAAAGTCTATTCAGTTGACAAATTACAACTACAGAAAGAACTTACAGAAATTTTAGGTGGATCTAAACTGGAAACCTGAAGAAACATTTGTAAAATATATCCACACATCTACCAGGAGAACAGAATCACAATTCACAATACTGAAGAATTCATTTCTCCCTCATCTTCCAGAAAGCTCCAACTCTGAATAAATTACATTTTTAAGAGGGGTAACTAGAAAACCCAAGTCCTTGAGGAGCTTGACTTTGCTAATCTATTTTCTGTGAAAGACTGGGATAACGGGCAGTAATACGGAAAAATGGCAGACCAGAAAAAATGGTCACGTGAACTAAAGGAGCACAGACTTGTGATTATCAGGGCCTCTTCTTCAAATTCAGGGCAACTTTGAGCTGTGCGTTCTCATCTTTTCTCATAAACACTCTGTCAGGTCATGGAGTGTTGTCTGGGGAGAACTGATTAAACATGGGATTTCTAAGCTGACGGGCCATTTTTCTCAAAGCTGCAGCTTTGAGAAAACATTGGTCAGAAAGTGGAAGAAGGTAACAATGAACAACTTTGTAAGTAACAGGAGAGTACCACCAAAGAGGTACAGAGGAAGGTATGGCTAAGTCAAAAAGCAGCTAGAATAGCTGAGATGTACTACGGAGAGAGAAGGCCCCAAGCTCCCCTCACAGCAATAACATTTTGGTTGAAGTACTTCTGTGCCATTTCCTTTAGGGCTCACAGCCTTGACAGAACTGCTGTCAAGAACAGACTCCCCTACATGAAAAATCTCTCACCACTTTCTCCATTTCTTCTCTCTCCCACTGAGTTGCTTCTCTCACCATTTCCATCTCCTAGGAGAGACCAAAGTTAGAGCCACTTCACCCAGTGCTCTCTCCCCCCCAGTAGAGCACCTACAACCTCATGAAAATTTTGGTCACGTCCTAGCGTACTCCTGATGAAAGAGCAATGACCTACTGATCCCATAAGAAGGAAGTCCACTACCTGGACAGACTGGCCTACCCATTATAGTGCCGATTACACACCAAGAGATTTCCCCGCTAGGGAATTTCAGAGACTTTTTCCACTCCATACCATTCTCCCAGTTGTAGCTAGAACGCCCACCTTCTGCAGGATCTCCAATTCTTCAGGGCTTAAATCCCGATCAATAGACGAGATACTCTCCAGGCTATTCTTGCGCCCAATACCAGCAGCAAAAGGATTTGCAATAATTCCTGGAGACATCTACAAAGCAAAAAGACAACAAAACATGGCAGAAGCACACGATATGCCATGCAATAGATTCCACATCCTGGGCTTCTAGACACAGAGTATCAAGATGATCCTAGGCGAGTCAGAACTGTATCACAACTTGAAACCTCATTTCCACTGCCAATTACACAAAGAACTTGAGGCCTATGAAAGCTGAAATTAAACTGAAACAGGTACAGAAAGGGGATAAGATAACTAGGCACTGGATACATGTTACAATGGAGAACAAAAAAAGCTTACTTTCTAAGCCCTGAAAAAAAAGCAAGCTGAAAAAGCACAGGATTTCTGCCTGTAAGTGTACCATGGGGAAAGGTAAACATCAGGAAGCAAAATAAATAAATAATAAAAATTAAAAAAAAAAAACAGCTTTAAATATAACATTGGTAAAGAACAAATAGGCATAAAATGGCCAGGAGAAAATTACTTTGAAAACTAGGTTTCTAACCAGAGCGGTGATATTGTAAAACAGTTCTCTAATCAGCAGTGAGACGATCCACAGAGCCTTGAGAGACTATTGCAACTATTGCATTTATCAGCTGGCAACAATCTCCAGTTCATATAGCAGGAGACCAGATTTTAGAATCCAGGACTTCAAAAAAAAATCTACACCAAAAGGTTGTAAAATCCAGCAATTTGTTACGAGAAAATAGGTGGGATCCCCTTGTGGTACTGGTTCCTATGATGGCACAGGCCTCTGTGCCTACCCTTAAGCTCTCACCTCAATGGCAGCTGCAGCCTTGGGATCAAAGCCATCACACACTAGCACAAGGAGCGCATCACCCACACTTCGGAGTATTTGTACTGCTTCTGTATGCGTCATTCCCAGCAAACTCTGATGATTCACCTCTAGGATCCGCATCCCCACCTTCAGACGTCCATCCCGGGCAGCAGCCCCAGAGGAGCTCACCTGTAATGAATGGGGGGAATGAAGAGTTTGTCTAAGGAGTTAAGAGAAGATGAGAGAGCATGGGGACCACTAGGAAGGAGGGATGAGAAATAAAAACATACAAAGGAAGCAAGGAGGAAAGGAGGAAAGACGGAGGCTACATGACAGGGAAGGGTTTGGAAGTACTTACATACTTATGAAGAGGGGAAAAAAAAGGAAGAATGTATGAAGTTCAGCAGAAGAAGCAAGTGTAGAAGAAAATGCTTACAGGAGAGAAAAGGAATATGGATTTGAAATGCGTTGTCCCAAGGAAAGAAACTGCTGCTGGTTTGTCAGTGAAGCAGGTAAATAAGCAAACTCACACATCTATGACTTGTTTTCAGAGGAAGGAAAGTGTAATAATTGTTGCTGGGGAAAAGAGAGGAAGAGAGAGAAAGAAGCGTGCAACTTTTTCACAGAAGGAAAACACAAGCATGGGTATATAATTTTTGTAGATAAAGACAGATGCTGCACAAAGACTTCTCATTGTCTTCACAGTAGATACAGACATGACAAATTACACGCGTGTCATTTTCCCTCCTCCTTTTCACAGAAATAACATGTGGAACTCCTATTCTCTTTCCTCAACAAATCATAAGAACTCATACTTGCCTCATGTATACAAGCTGTCACCAAGGGAAGCAACTACATGCAACACATTGATAAGGCACATGAAAGTCAGATTTTGTCTTAAAGAGTGCAGGCATCCATATGTTTGAGGAGAGAATGAGTGTGCATGCTTTGTCATCCAAACAAAGGAAGTAAACATAAGGAGTTGTATTCATTTTTCTCTTCAGGACAGGAAAAACAGACTGTAGGATTTGCAGAAAAGAAGAAAAATTAAAAAAGAAAATAGCGCATGCAAACATGAAATTTGCTATAGGAAAAATATGCAAGCTGCAGAAGTCAGAAACAACAGAACAATACAGAGTTAGAAGATGGTACTATCAGGAAGCAGACAGTAATAGAGGAAACAATTTAAAGTGCCTTGGGGAAAGGAAGAGAATTACCAAAGGGCAGTACTTTTTGTAATGGAAAACTGAAAAGCCTGGAACAAAACGGAACATACACACATGGTCAGCTAGACCAAATGAACAGCTTGGTACACTGGGTATACGGCCAGAACTTGCTGGGAACACCAGAGACAAATGAATGGCTTCAGTTCAAATGCCCAGTGTTAAAGCTGAAGAACCAACATGAATAGCCTTTATAAAGAAAACTATGACCAGTGCTACACAAGGGCTTTGCAGAAGGAATATGTACCTGTCAGGGATCTCGAGCAAAGCCTGTAAATCTATGACAAGAGAATAAGAAAAGCACAAGGGCATGTGAGATGGGTTGCTGGGTGGGAGAAAATGTGAAGGCGTTTGTCTGGTTGTCAGGCTGGGAAGGAGGAGAGTGCACTGGCACAGGTATCATCAGAGGGAAAGAAAGGATAACTGTGTACCACATATTACTGGGAGCAGAGAAAAAAAATCCACAGGCATGAGTGTTTTGCTAGTTTATGAGATTTGTTTTGGACAAACAATACCACCAGATATATGTTTAACAAAGTGCCTATAAAAAGAGAAGAAAATGCTGCATGCAATTTCTCATAGGTCTGGAGGGAGGAAAAGTAGCCATGCACGCCTATGCATAACTTCCTCAAGGCTGTAAAGGAAAACAAGTAAGGATGTGTGGGTGCATGTGCATGCACAAAAGTGGTCACATGCAGCTGAACGGAAAAAGACCAAGTACTCACAATTTCTTTTCCAGGGAGATCAAGTGCACAAGTGTGACAGTAGAACACCCAGAAATAATGGGAGGAGGTGAAGTTAATGTAGAAAAGTGTCCTTAACGCCAACTGTCATCTGTACTATTCGTATGTCATTGGGGGACTCTGAGCTATCCCCATTGAGATGCACTATGAATTTCAAAATTGTTGGTATAATTAATACTTCTCATGATATTGAACTTGTAACACTTCATCAAGAAGGTTTTAAAAAGGAAGAGCCAGACTAAAGCTAAAAAACGTGATAACTAATGTACCCAACAGAAATGCAAATTCAGAAAGACTAAGTGGAAAGAAGGCGGTAGTCAGACACCCGAAGAACAGGAAGGAGAAAATGCAGTGCTCCATCTCTTTGTTACAGGAGGTATTCCAAGGCAAAATAAAATAACCAGGAAACACACAATCATAACGGTCAGGTAAGAGACAGCAAGCTGAAATGACACAGTCAGAAGGAGAGCAGAGAAGTTCAGCGCTTTGGCTCTATGCAAGCTAAAGCAACTATTAAAATGAAAAAATAAGATTCAAAAAAAAAAAAAAAAGAGGCAAACCAATCCTGCAACGGGGCCAAATCATCAGCCTTCCAAAACCCTAGATGCTGAAACACTGAAGGAGACACAAACAAGCCTAATCCTTAAAAATAATTCTGGATTACAAAAATCTTAGGTTTTCTTTTACCACTACTGCAAATATTGAAGCAGAATATGCAACTATTACTTTCATAAAGAAAACTTACTCTTTTAGCTTTAAAATTCAAAGAAAGAAGTGATATCAAAGTGATAACAAATGCTGACTATTCCATTTCTTTGAAAGTAGCAAGCTATTATACAGGATTAACTGGCAGTCATGGAGGGTCCACCATCCAGCAAGGATTATTAAGAACTCTAAGGCTGTGCAGCATTTCCACCCTACCATAACACAGCTAGACAGGAAACCAGTGACGCTAACATGAATGTTAGCTAACATGAATGCCAGCGGCAAGAGATGTGAAATGATTCTGACCCAAAGATTTCACCTCTGATCACGATGCTTTCTTGCTAACAAGAAAGAAAACGTAATACTTTTTGGTGGGAGTATAAGCATATATAACGACATATTGTTGAAAAGAAAATGTGTGTCACTTCTTTGGGAAAAGTGACATCACAAAAGAGTATGCGCGCAAACAATCACTTACTAAGGAAAGGAAGCGGAATTGCACACATGGTACAAGGCCCAGGAGGAAAGGTGAGGAATGCATAATGCTTTCAATGAAAGGAGGAAAGATCATGCACGACTGAGTAGGCAGAAAGGTCACAAGCACTTGGGGGAAGCAACAGGAATGGAAAGGCAAATGAAGGAAGTGTGGGTTCGTTTCACGGAAAAAGTGCAAGAGAATAAATGCAAGGCAAAATAGAGGCAAACACAGGAAATGAAAGAAGAAATCTTGCAGCTGTTGTAGAGAAGGAAATATGAAAGGATACCCATGCATATGCTTCAGTGCATGGACAAAACTCTGGGAGAAGTGATATAGCCAGTGAAAAGTGAAGATAGCATATGGAAAAAATTCCCACAAGCATCACTTTTCTCCCTAGCAGTCCTTGCATGCAATCAAGTTGCAGATTTCAGGGTCTGTTACCTTAGAAATGAAGATGCCTTCATCAGTGGGATCAAAGGGATTTCCAGCATGACCTTTTGCTCCACCCCGGATGCTGATGCCCAGCTTTTCTCCTGGAGCCTTTTCAATGCATATTTCCTGTGGACACAGAAAAGGTCTTCTTGTTTGTGGGTTAAGTTCAGGTTGGAATTGTTGAGGAAAAACTTCTAATAGCTGACCATATTCTAAATATCCTGAAAGGGAACCTCATTCGTACCTTTCACTGATTTGGCACAAATTGTTCTTTTTGATCTGTCTCTGCCCTTTTTTCTATGTCTGTCTCCTATTCCAGGTCTAGTCTTCACGAAATCTGATTATATGCCCACAATGTCATCGTGGGCAACAGGCTCTGCACAGTCCTCAACTGGATAAATATTTATAAGAGACTGGATTCTGCCACAAGATGAGAAAACTTCCAACTAGAAGCTTGGCTGTATCCTCGTCCCAAATTTCCGGCTAGATAAGAAACTGCCTTCAAAGGTGAGACTTCTATAAAGAGAAAAGTGATTTCCCCCAGTGCTCTTACTCAGAACCTACCTGCATACCAGGTGGAGGTGGATCTCGTCTTACTAACATAGTCAGCTCCTGAGTGTTGGAGAGCAGGGCATTCACTGCTTCCTGGTGGGTAGCATGGCGCAGGTCGATGCTATTCACCTCCAGGATCCTATCCCCTACACGGAGCCCACTGCGAGATGCCAACCCACGGGGAATGACCTACAAAGAATCATTAATGTTACACCAGGAAAAGGAAATGCCATTTCTACAGAAAGAGATCTGATAAAGCTGTGGCTAGTCTTGAAAAAACACATGAACAGAAAACAAATACGTGTCAAAGCTTTAATAGGAAATAGTAAGAGATAATTACCATTGTCTCCCTATGTTATCCTCCAACACCTTCTGAGGCCTGTTTCGACTCCTCTCTCTGCAACTAAAGCTGCGAGATAATGTATCTGTGAAGAATCTGCTCAGAGAGCTAATGCATTAATGCCTTTTAGATGCCTGTGTGTGAGTCCATCCTAAAAGGACTATTCTATCCTCTAAACACACTATGCGTCCATTTGCATGGACTCACACACAACCCTTGAATGCGGAGGCTTCTGAGGCATTGGAATAAAGTGCTAAATCATTAGAACCTTGGAAGGTAAGGTAGTAGCCAGGGAGGTACAAACCCAGCCAAAATGAGCTGATGTCACAAAGACTACAAGTTAAAATTGCTCATACCTCAGGACAGCAAGGAGTCTGTGACACAAGCAAAAAGGAAACTGAAATTTTCAGTCATCTGACAAAACTTGATATAACTGGTACTGCTGGTAGTACCAGATATTTGCTATAGCATGCCATTCAAGTGGGATTTTCATTCATATTATTAAAGCCAGAAGAAATCATCTAGTCCATCATGGAGGACTATCACAGGTCACTCAACACCACCTTCTCCTGCTCTAAGCCCAGTAACCATGTTTTAACATAGTTATCTCTCAGATGAACATCTAACCTCAGTTTGAAGGTGCTGAGGGCTGCGAATACTATGATCATCCTTGATAATTTCTTCAGTGACTAATTACTCTTTCTAGTTAAAAAAGTTTTCCTCAGTTTTCAGCCCACTATCCTTTGACATCTTTTTCTAAGCCCCTGTTTTTATCTTTCTCATTTGGAAAAAGTACCCCTAAGTACTGTACAATTTCTCCACAAGAAGGTCAAAGACCTTCACAATATGACATTTTCTCCAGCTGTTGAATAATCTTTGTAGCTTTTATTTCCTCTTCTGCATTTTAAACATATTTTGATATTGCAGATACTTCAAGTGGATGAAGATTTTGACTTTGGCTTAGCTAGGATTGTTTTCAAAGGAAGTTTTGGTCCCTTCACTATCCCATATTGTATGCCCACAGATTACGTAGATCACTGTTTTGCACCAAGAACTCATGCTGTAGTTTGTTTACTATGATGTTCCCATGCTTTTCAAAGTCACCGCTTTCCAGAAAATAATACCACAATACAGTAAACTGTTCAACAGATTATTTCTAGATGTTCTATGATCTATGTCTAGATGAAACGCTCGTGTTCGGTTATTTTAAAGTACATCTGTTTGAAAAGAAAAAGCGATCAAATGCTCTCTTTTCTCCTCATTATTTACCGTGTTGCCAATATTTCTATGTACGTTTTATTGGCTGCAATTAGAGATTTACTTCCACAGCACTGCTACTGTTGAATAGCATCAGGTCTTGTATAAATCCCTGCAAAATCCCTCTGGGAACACTTCCATTCAATGACATCCCACTGATGGCTGCTCCTTGAAAACTGCCACCCAGTTCCAAGCTCATTTAATATGTCTTCTAATGTTATTACACAGCATTAACTTTTAATCAGAAGATAATATAGCAATTGTCTTATAAAGTTTACATTTATCAAGCTGTCTTTATCAATCAGACGTAACACGGGCAAGGAATGAAATAAGATTTGCTTTACAATGTCATTCAACATGTTCCTATATTCTGATATCAGCATTTTGATCTGACCAAATCCTATGCCAGCTTTTTCATTATTTTGCCTATGACTGATGCCAGACTAACCAGAAGATAGCTTTCTCCCAAGAGTTCTGAAGGACCGCAAACGTGACGTGTGTTGTCCAAAGTGCATGACCTACCATTACAAACGGCCACTGTAACAGCACCGGAAGTGTCAGTACAAAAAAAGTGCTCTAGAAAGGATCTTGAGAGCTACAGACCAACTAACCTAACTTCTTTTCCTGGTAAAATGATAGGGTCAACAGTAAACAGTAAGATCTGTGAGCATGTGGATATACATGGTTTGTTGGGAAAGAGTTAGCATGGCTTTAGTAAAAGGAAATCCTGCTTCATTGACCTGTTGAAGCTTTGTGAGGGATAGACACATGATTGAAGGGATCTGGTAGCCATAATACGGATTTCCAAAAAACTCTTGACAAGGTCTCACCCGAAAGGCCCCAAAGGTTATCACAGAGACCGAGCCTCCACAGGATGGGAGGAAAGATCCTTTTATGGACTGAAAGCTGGTTCCAGGAGAAGAAGCAAAGGGCATGGTTGAACGGTCACTTCTCAGCATGGAGGGGTGTCCCTGATGGGGTCCCCGAGGGATTGGTGTGGGACTCATGTTATTCAGCATGTCCATCTGCAACCTGAAAAAGGCAGCGAACAGTGAAATCGCCAGGTCTGCAGATGATACCATGCTCTTCTGAGTAGCCAAATACCACTCTGGTGCTGGGAAACTCCAGATGGACTCAGAAAAGCAGTGGACAAAAAGGCAGTGGATGAGCTGCAGCATAGATAACGAATCTAGGGAAAAACAACCTAAACCATGCCCACACAATGCCAAACTCAGAAACGGCAACTCAGGAGAGTTCCTAGAGCCATTGCTGAATGATCTCTGAAATCATGGGCTCTACATGCAAAAAGAGCCCAAAAAGCCCCCAAAATGTTGGGAATCATCAAAAAGGGTACTGAAACAAAAACAGACAGCTTCACTTCACGTGTCGACGCACTCATGTCTCCAGCACTGATCAGTTCTGTGCTCCCACAATCCAGGTAGAGCACAAGGGGATCCAGAAACTCTGCTTGGGACTGCACAAGGATGACGGTGATGTGTCACAGGCCAAGGAGCACCAACGGGAGCATCCCCGACACTTCAGAGGCCTTGGCCTAGACAGATCGTTAGAGCAAGGATACAGCTTTCAAGGTCTTGGGCTGCAGGAAATGCCTGGGGCCTCTCCCTGAGGCTAGTGGTGATGGTGACCTCCAGCAGAAGGAGGTGTGCTCTGGTTGAGGTGCTGAGCTACTGCAAGAGATGAGCGGACTGCATAACATCAGGGAAGATGAACAGGAGAGCAACAGGGTCTTTACAGAGACTCTGCAGAGAGAAGAGCCTAAACCTCACATCATATGGAGGGAGGGTCAGCTAGGGGCTACACTTAAAGAAATAGTAGAGGCTTCCAAGGTGGGAAAGATGGGAAGTTTGTGACTAATGGCAATAGAGGGGAGGCACCTTCTCATAGTGCCTTTAACAGGCGTGGAGAAAAAAGCTACATCAAGGGAGGCACTGGAGCCACATATGTCAGCATCAAGAGGAAGCGACAGGTGAAAGCCATTGGAAACTTCCTACCACTGGGGACTGAAGCACACATCTGCAAACAGATTTGCTGTTTCAGGAGGTTTGTTGCTTGCCAGAGCTTGGATCCAGTAACTTGTGGAAAGACTGCCAAGTCAGCAGTGTGCCCTTGCAGCAGTGGAGGCTAACTGCATACTGGCTGAATTAGCAAGAGCATAGCCAGCAAGTTGAGGGAAACGATTATTTCCCACTAATCACTTGTGACATTGCATTTGGAATACAAGAAAGACACTGACAAACTGGAACAAGTACAGCAGAGGGCCAATAAGATGAACAGGGGGTTGCAGAATGTGCTGTACAGGGAGGGGAAGAGAGACCTGGGTTAGTTCAGTCTGAGAACAGAAGGCTAAAGGGAGTGTTCTTACAGTCTTCAGCTGCCACAAGGATACAGAGAAGATGGAGAGCCAGGCTCTTGAAAGTGCCTAGTGGTAGGAAGAGAAGCAATGCACACAAGCTGGACAAGCTGACTAAATATTAGGAAAGAAATGTTCACCAAAAGGGTAGTTAAACGTTGCAACAGGAGCCCAGAGAGGCTGTGAGATTGCCATCTTTGAAGCTATTCAAAGTAAGCTGATCTAAGCTGTCCTTGTGCTTTGATGAGTGGGATCAGATGGATCAAATGACCTCACAGGTATGTTCTAACTGAATTACTCTGTGATACCACATATAAAGAAGGACATAGTGAAGTCAGAGAAGGTCTAGAGAAAGACAACTAATATAACTGAGGGGTTGGAGCAGCATCTTGCAAGGAAAAATCAAGAAAGTTGCAACTCGAGTTTGGAGCAGGGAGGCTGAGGAGGGAGATGAATGAGGTTTACAAAACCATGAAGGAGGTAAATAAGCTGAACACAGGAATCTTGTTTACCAAACCAGCAATAAAAGAATGGGAGAGCCCTCAGTGAAACCAGTGGATTGGTTTCAAAAAGATCAAAAAGCGTGCTTTCTCACATGGCAGATAATGAACGTCTGTGACTTGCAACTGCAAGTGGTTGGAGGAGACAGACTTGGCGTGTCCAAGGGATCAGAGAGATGCATGGATGCTAATAGGACTGGGCAGGGATGTCCTCTCCAACTTCTCTAATCCAAACAGTGTGGGTGTGGGGACTGTGAGGGAAATGGGCTGCAGAAGGTAGCTGGGCTTGGGTGCTGTCCTTAAACAGCATCTGCTAATGCCACTGTTGGAGACAGAATATTGAGTCAAATATTGGGTCGTATATGAACATTGGCCTAAACACAGGAGAGCACTTCTGTTTTTTTCTTAGTTACATATTCATCCCACTGACATTTTTTGAGTAATGACCAGTTTTCTGAAATGCCCACATCTTTCCAGGATTCCTTAAAAGCTGAGAGAAGCTCACCAATTCAAAAGCTAACTCCTCAAACAGTTCAGCATCATTTAAATTTCTAAAGCAGCAGTATGTCTAATACAAACTAACTCTTTATACATGCATGCATCCTTCCTCCCTATTCCACACTTTTTGTTTTTTATATCTACACTATACTTCTCAGACTCTTGCATCAAAATCCTTCTTCTTAGCCCCAGTAATTAGGCAACTCAGGAATGTCCACTGCTGGGCTGCCCATACAGGCCCCTACCTTTGAAATGAAGACACCCGGTTCATGAATCCCAAATGGATGACTTGAATGGTCACTGCCTCCTACGATGCTGAGTCCCAGGGGACCACCTGCTTTTACAAGGTGAATCTCCTTGAAGGAACAAGAAGCAGAGTTACAGAGAATAAAGAGAATAAAGGATATCACATAAGGACCAAAGACACAAAAATACAGAGTTGGGGACGTTCTGTGTTAACGAGCACAAGGAAGCTCCCACGGTAGAAGGAAGCTCCCTCTTACTTCTCAATGCCCCAGATGAAAAAGCACCCAACGTTACACCACCCCATATTCCAGCTGTCAGGCTCACCTCAATGGGATACTGATCCTCCAGGCCTTTAGACAGATGGTTCCTTTGCAGGGAAGGTGTCTCCTCAGGTGGGCTCTCCCCATGGCTGGGAGGTGGTGGTGGGGAATGCATGCGCACTCGTGGCACCCCTGGTGAGTCTCCCTCGCTGAGCTGCTCTGCACCCTCTCTCTCTACCAGCAGCACGATGGTGGGTGAGGATGCGGTAAGCAGCGCTACTGCCTGATCATGCCTGGCTTCTGTCATGTCTACCCCATTGATCTAGAACAACCCGCAAACTCAGTGTCAGAGCGTCACCCGAGTACACTCAGTTGTTTTAAGCACTTGGCCAAGCACCCTAAGGGACCCCACTCTGCTAGAATCCTGTCCCTCCTCAAAAGTCTGCTAAAGGCTTATGCCAAAGCATACCATAACTTACCCTACTCCTGTGATAAAGGGACACAGGTACCTGCACATATCCAGCAGACCACCCACTCTTTTTCTATACAGTTCACCAGCCCCTTTCTCACCTTCCCTGCACACCTCCAAGCTCTAACAGCATCAGTGATGCTCCAGGGGACCATGAAGACCAAGTTTCATGCTCCATCTACAAAGCTAGCTGTTGCCAAGATTATGTCCTGGCTGACTCATTACCAGGAGACTACCTACCACTTCTTCCTGGCTTTGCATTCCAGCTTTCCTGCTGGTTCATGACAAAAGAAGTCCAAGGGGCTATGTTAAAGGAATAGGTCAAAAGATCTTAACACGGGAAGAAGGCAGAGCAGATCACTGATACCCAGAAGTGGCGTCACATCACACTCATGTGCCACAGGAGCAGCTGCTGTTGTATCAGGCCATTTGCCCTCATCAGTCACTCTCAAGAGCCTAGTAGCAGGCACTGGAGAGCTGAAGGACACGATATGCTGCGTGACAGGACCTGTGGCTAGCCACTGAGCTGCTGCCCACCCATGCTGAGCAAGGCTAGGGCAGTTCAGGGAGGCCTGTCCTGTGCTGCCAGTTTTAACACATAAAAAGCATATCCCAGGCATCAACAGATTTGGAAATACTGAGAAAGAAACTCTACCAGTCAACAGTGACTGGCTGGCTGACACAAAAGGAAAACGATCATTCTTTTGGGCAAGAAAACATTATCCAATATGCTATGCCAAGTAACTTCAAGAATGCAACTAGAATCTTGCTACGAAACCAGTAAAAGATACAATGCTTTGGACAAAGAGGTAATTCCAGTACATATAGGGAAGCAGCAATGTCATTTGTACAAGGCATTGATATGAACGCATCTGAAAAACTGTATACTGTTCTCAGCATTCATATTAAAAAAAAAACAAAGCAAAACTAACACATGTTAACATATACACAGAGAAGAGCTACTAGGCAGAAGAACAGAGAGCCTTCCTCAGGAGAACAAGATTTAAAGCAGCTTGACTAAAATATCGAAGGCCCAGAAGGGATGTGACTGTTCTCCATGACTGTAGGAGAGGGACAGAATATTGAGCAGAGAGCTAAGCTAGAAGAATGCTGCCAACAGGATCAAACTTTCTAACATAAAGTTGAAGTTGAAAGTTAAAAGGTTTCTAAACCTTAGGTTCTGGAACAGCTTCCCAAAATGAACAGCAAGGACATGAAAATAACTGCTGTTAAGATGGAACTTGATCAGCTTATGAAACAATAATATGACTTTCTACCAGTCACAGCAAGCAATTGGATTTTGTGGCATGATTCCTTGCTGCCCAATTCCTAGAAATTTTATAGCTAGTCCCCCACTCCCTTGTGAGAAAGCAATTCTTAGGCAAAGCTAACTGCATACAGTCTGGTAACACTTTATCCAGAGCTTGCACAAACACTATCATCATTCTCACCAGACTTGCCTCCATACAATCCACAGTCAAGTGTGCTATTCCTCTTAAGACAGAGAAGCTTCAGACTAAAGCAAGGCCTCTGTCACTCTACTTATGGCTCTGAGCAATACAGCCTGCTCACCAGAGCTATCTTCTGGTCATATCAAAAAAAGATAGGTGACATAGCCTTATATTCCTAGGTGTGACACAGATAGGAAACACTCAGCCCCATAGTCTCCCCTCTTAGAAAATTGTCCCCAAAAGGGCACCTTTGGCACAGACCACAGGTGACTAAGAGAGGTATATGAAGACATGCCATCCTGAATATGCATGCCAAAAGGGGTAAGGTACCCAGGTAATGGCTATTCCACATAAAAAGAGAAGGCAATAAGCAGGAGAGGTAAAATATTAAACACGCAGATATATAAACCGTAATGAACACCAGATAACAGAGACAGGACTGGCTAGACATGTGAAGGTTGGGGGCAGCCTTGGCTGCAGTGACCAGGAGATGGTGGAGTTTAGGATCCTGTGAGGAGGGAGCAGGGCAGCAAGTAGGATCACAACCCTGGACTTCAGGAGAGCCACCTCTGGCCTCTTCAGGGACCTTCTTGGAAGAATCCCATGGGATCGGGCCCTAGAAGGAAGAGGGGTCCAAGAGAGCTGGTTCATATTCAAGGATCATCTCCTCCAAGCTCAAGAACGGTGCATCCCAATGAGCAAGAAGTCCAGCAAAGTGGGCAGGAGACCTGCATGGATGAACAAGGAGCTCCTGGCAAACCCCAAACAGAAGAAGGAAGCGTACAAGAGGGGGAAACAGGGGCAGGCCACGTGGGATGAATACAGGCACGTCGTCCAAGTATGCAGGGATGCAACTAGGAAGGCCAAGGCCCATTTGGAATTAGATCTGGCAAGGGATGTCAAGGACAACAAGAAGGGCTGCTTCAATTACATCAGGAACAAAAGGAAGACTAGGGAAAAATGTGGGCTCGCTACTGAGTGAGTCAGAGTCCGCGGTGATGAAGGATACAGAGAAGGCAGAGATACTGAACGCCTTCTTTGCTTCAGTCTTTATCGCTAAGACCAGCCCTCAGGAATCTCAGACCCTAGAGACCAGGGAGAAAGTCTGGAGAAAGGAAGACTTTCCCTTGGTCGAGGAGGATTGGGTAGAAGAGATCATTTAGGCGAACTTGACACCCACAAGTCCATGGGCCCGGATGGGGATGCACCCACGAGGGTTGAGGGAGCTGGTGGATGTCATTGTTAGGCCACTCTCAATTATCTTTGAAAGGACATGGCAATTGGAAGAGGTGCCTGAGGACTGGAAGAAAGCAAATGTCATTCCAGCCTTCAAAAAGGGCAAGGAGGACCTGGGGAACTACAGGCCTGTCAGCCTCCCCTCCATCCCTGCAAAGGTGATAGAACAGCTCCTCCTGAAGGTCATCACTAAGCAACTGGAGGACAAGAAGGTGATCAGGAGTAGTCAGCATGGATTCACCAAAGGGAAATCATGCTTGACCAATCTGATAGCCTTCTAGGATGGGACAACTGGCTGGGTAGATGAGGGGAGAGCAGTGGATGTTGTCTACCTGGACTTCAGCAAGGCTTTTGACACTGTCTCCCGTAACGTCCTCATAGGCAAGCTCAGAGGGCTGTGCTCAATAGCACAGAGTCTAGTTGGAGGCCTGTAGCTAGCGGTGTCCCCCAGGGGGGTCAGTCCTGGCTCCAGTCTTGTTCAACGTATTCATCAATGACCTGGAGGAAGGGACAGAGTGCACCCTCAGCAAGTTTGCTGACGATACTAAACTGGGAGGACTGGCTGATACCCCAGAGGGCTGAGCTGCCATTCAGAAGGACCTCAACAGGCTGGAGAGCTGGGCAGAGAGGAACCTCATGAAGGCAAGTGGAGAGTCCTGTACCTGGGGCGGGATAAGCCCATGCACCAGGACAGGCTGGGGGGGCTGACCTGCTGGAGAGCAGCTCTGTGGAGAAGGACCTGGGAGTCCTGGGGGACAACAAGTTAAACATGAGCCAGCAGTGTGCCCTTGTGGCCAAGAAGGCCAGTCAGATCCTGGGCTGCATTAGGAAGAATGGTGCCAGCAGGTGGAGGGAGGTGATCCTCCCCCTCTCCTCCGCCCTGGGGAGGCCTCACCTGGAGTACTGCGTCCAGTGCTGGGCTCCCCACAACAAGAGAGGCTCCTACTGAAGCAAGTGCAGCGAAGGGCTACTAAGATGAGGACGGGACCGGAGCATCTCCCATATGAGGGAAGGCTGAGCGAGCTGGGCCTGTTCAGCCTGGAGAAGAGATCGGGGGGGGGATCATGGGGGTCCATGAGGGTGGCTATGGGTCTAGGGATCTGATCCACGTGTAGAAGCATCTCAAGGGAAGGTGTCAAAAGGATGGGGACAGACTCTTCTTCGTGGTGCCCAGCAATAGGACGAGAGGCAGTGGGCACAAACTGAAACACAGGAAGTTCCATGTGAACACGAGGAAAAACTTCTTGACTGTGAGGGTGACTGAGCACTGGAACAGGTTGCC